ATTTATTTTGCGCTTATAGTTCATAGTAATTTATCTAAATCTGTTTCATTCTTCAATACCATGTTTAAAAATTTTAGCTCTTTAACTTTAAATATTTTTAATTTATTCAAACAACTTTAATACAATTCAAATTATTTTGAATTATTTTGCGCTAATAGTTCATAGTAATTTATCTGAATCTGTTTTATTTTTGAATTTTGCCATTTAAAAATTTTACCTCTTTAATTTAAATTATTTTTAATTTTTTCTAACATTTTTAATATAATTCGAATTATTTTGAATTATTTTGTGCTTAATTGTTCACATTAATTTATCTCAATTTGTTTCAAATTATTTTGAATTATATTGTGTAAAATTGCATTATTTTTTGCATAATATTGCGTAATTATCTTAGTAATATTTCGTAATTATATATTTCGCAATATTGCGAAAGTTATTATATAATACTACGGTTTTCTTACGCTTCGTAAATTATTGCACAATATTATACCCTATTAAATTTGCTGATGACTAATATGATTCTAGTTCACGTTCATTGTGATTTGCTAGTGATTCTAAATTTTGTAATTATTTGAAGAGTTTCTTGTGACAATTTGCTGAAAATTTACTGTGTGAAATGAAGATTTTAAATTTTAGCCAATTATCAAAATTATTATCCATAGAACATTATTTTTGATTAAATACCAAACTTATACATCATAAAAAAGGTTCAGCAAATCTTATTTTTAACAAAGTGTGCTTTTTTTAAATAAATTAAAATAAGATTAGATGTTGATAATTAAAAAAAATAACCTAGCAACGTTTCTATGCCTACGAATTCATTAATGAAAAATTCTTTGCTTTATATATAGTGTTACTAGCAAAATCAACGATCTCGTAATGTTACGAGAAATGGAAAAGATGACAAAAAAAAAAAAAAAAAAGATATATATATATAATAATAATAAAGATAATACTAAAACCCACTTATCTGTCTATCGAAGAAACCAAAACATTGGATAAGCCTTGGGTCAAAATAGAGCCAAGCCCGTAGAGACGCCTCTATCGATAATAGATGAAAAGAGCCAAAAGATTATAAAGAATTCTGTAGAGAATAGGGCTGTATAGAAAATGAAATCTATAATAAAATAGTTCCAAGACCATGGTATATTGAAGTTCCCAGTTGAGGTGTAAGGAGAGAACCAGGAGATAAACATCTGGACAAAACAATGACCAAGCATCACCCAAAAAGGATAGATGAGGTGGTAACTTTGCCGAGTCAAATAAATAAAAATAGGAGTAAATTAGGTAAATCGTGTAGCTGTGTAAACGAATATTTATGTATGTATAAGTAAGGGCCAGATAATCCAAAAATCGTCTATGATTTAGTATTGATAGCATGATAAGGAGCTATAGTTTTTTTTTTCTTTTTTCTTTCATCTTTTGTCTAAAATTTATATATAAATAGCTCTGTAGTTTGCTCCAGTTGTAGGGGCAGAACAGTACAAGTTTAATAAAAAAGTTGAACTTTGTTCTAAAAGTACTAATACCTTGTTATTGTCCCTAAGTCATTTATTTTAAACTTCATACTCATAAAAATCCATCTCAAAAGCCTTACCTTGCCAAATCTCTTTCGCCTCTAACCTTTGGTTTGGTTTTGTGTGTGTATTAGTTTTTGTGAGTAGTAGTCTTCACATCAATCTTCATTATAACCAGTAACAATTGTAGTGGTGACTGTGAGATACGACAGAAGTATCTCTCTTTTCATATAAAACTAGTTTTTTGCTTTCATTGTGGTTTTATTTTTCTTTTGTTGAATACATAGCAGGATCTATAGATATTGTCTCAAGAATTTTTTTTAACCTAGCAGTTTTTTTTTTTGAGAAACTGTAATGAAAGCGATAGTAACTTTTAAATCTTAAACGACGATAATGGAGTAACCAAGAGTAGAAGCAAATGTTGTCCCCAATAACGACAAACTTAGAATTATCGAAGATGCCCCCATGAGGCAGAACACCGGGATCAAAATTCTCCTAAGAGCGATTAAAGTCATACTCCTGTTGATGACCTATCAAGATACCATGTTAATGATGGCCAAGAAAACCCAGCCCCTGAACCGTTGCATACAATATTGCGAGAAATCACAAATGCTTTTCATGACAGCTCAGCTTGGGTCATTGATGCTGCCCGTCTACCACTCCAGAAAACAAATTGAGTAAAAATCGACCTTTTCGAAAAGACGAAGATGAGGACCCCCTAGAATAGGTAAAGGCATTCGAGCGAGCAGCAGATGCCAACAATTGGTCCCCTCAACGTAAAGTAAAATTAGCTTCAGGCTATTTACGTGGTGTAGTAGCAAGTTGGTATGATGGAGTAAAAAGAAACCTTCGACATTGAGATAACCAAAACAATAGGAATAGAAGTTTTGTCTCTTATTTTCTACATTACTTTGCCACCCCTAAATGCCATCATCAGTGGCAAGCAGACTTAAATGCCTTAACCCAACAAGACGTTGAGCGAGTGAATGCCTACGCCTATAACTTTAAGAGGCTGTTGTGGTAGGTAGATCCCGAAAACTGCCTTCCTCAATCTAAGTAGTGCATATGTTCTTAGAAGGTTTGAAGCCAAAGATAGCCTCTTGATTAAGTGTAGCCGATCCTCGAAACCTTGAAGAAGCAGTAGTTGGAGCTCGCAAAATCGAAGCCGGCAGATATTATAGTTAAAGAAGCATTGCATGAAACCGGTATGACTGGTATGATGAGGATTTGAACCATTTAATCTAACAAATATAGGCAATGTTAACCAATTACAAAAGATTGTTGTTGACCTTAGCTACAAGGATTGAGGAAAATGAAACAAGACTCTAGTACAATAATAATCATGGCAGGCAAAATAATAATGTTCCCGAATAGTTTGTTATAACTGTGGTGAACCTGAACATATAGCCAGTGATTGTATGTTGGAACGAGTCTCTGTGCAAAATATTCCTTCAAGAAACCTGCCTCAGAATTTGCTACCGATCTCAGGTCAAATCAGAGGATTAATAGTTAGAATAACCCACCTGTGCAAATATTGCAGCTAGTGTTACAAGCTGGCTAGGGCAGCCATGGCTAAGGCAGCTTAGCTGGTTAAGCTAGCCGATGTAATATGATTGGCTAGCTAATGCAGCTTAAGATTACATGACTTTGGTAGTATAATTTAGGCCAAAACAATAATGTCAGCCAAAATTAAATAACAGAAAGCAAGGATCCAAAAGTTTCTAAAGAAAAAATGAACCAACATCAAAGATGAGCAAGGTTGAGAAAAAAAATTAAAGTAATTTCTAATATCTTCCAAAGTAAAATTTTTTTTGCTTACAAGAAGACCAATAATAGTTGAACTTGTAATACCGCTAGAAATAGAAACAAATATGGTACAACCACCTAATAATGAACGAACTATAGCCACCCGCTGTTATATACAGATCAAGAATAACCCAATCATTGCCGTATTGGATTCTGGGGCCACCGTAAGTTTGATGTCGAAAAAATGATGGAGAAGCTGGGTTTGAAGATTGATGAGCCTTCTACCACTATTGTAGTAACCGCTAATGGGACTAGGGAACGAGCCCTGAGAAAAATTAACAATTTCAAGGTCGCAATTCAGGATATGTTGATTTCAACCACCTTCCAAATAATTGCTTCCACTGACGATTTGTTGTTGTTGGGTATGGATTGGTTTGTTAAAGCATGGGCCTGGTTATATTTCGCTGAAAAGAGGTTGTATATTACGTATAATAGCAAGACAAGTGAAATCCCAATTTCTACCGATGAAGGACCCCCAATCGAATTTGTAGTTATAGCACCTAAAAGTAAAAACCTATTTGATGAATTTGAATATGATGATAAAGCCTTAGATGAGGCTGAAGGGTACTTTACTAAAGGGACCACCAATGATGAGCTCTTTGAAAACCTGTGGAGCAATTATTGCAGCCCTGTGGTATGTTTGGCAAATATTGAAGAATTGCCAACCAGGGACTCTGAAGTTGAAAAGGAACCTCCTATCGAAGATAAATTGGAGGAAAGTATAAAAAGCACTCCTCTAAGTAAGGATGAAAAAAATCGAGCCTGTGAAATACTGCTTGGGAAAAAAGGAATTTTTGCTAATAGTATAAGTGATTTGGGGCAAACCAATATTATAACATATAAAATAAATACCGGCACTGCCTCTCTGATAAAACAATTTCTGTACCGTGTTGCTCCCAGTGTATGGGCTTTTGTAAAACAGGAAGTGGCCCAACTAAAGGAAAAAGGGCTGGTTTGAGAATCAAAAAGTCTGTAGGCTTTCCCAGTCATAGTTGTGCCAAAAAAGGGCAGTAAACTGTGCATATACATCGATTACAGGCAGGTAAATACGGTAACGAAAAAAGATGTGTTTTCTCTCCCTCAGATAGACAATCTTCTCAAAGTCTTCAGTCATACCACCTGGTTTACCTTGTTAGATTTGTTGTCAGGGTATTGGCAAGTAAAGCTAAATGAAAAGGACTGGGAAAAAACTATGTTCACTGTTTCTTTCAGCACCTATAAACTCATCATTATGCCTTTTGGCCTCTGTAATGCTCTGGCCACCTTTCAGTGCATGATAAATTATGTCTTGACAGACTTTATTAAACAATTTATTGTAATATATCTCAACAACATCATTATATACTCCACTTCTTTTGATGAACATTTGAACCACATCGCCGCTGTTTTTGAAAAGTTAAAGGCTGTGGGCCTAAAAGTGAATTTTGATAAGTATGCCTTCCTTCAGCCCTATCTCCAGTTTTTGCACCATATTGTTGGGCAAGATGGAATTCATCCTAACAACAAAAAAGTAGAAAAGGTCTGAAATTTTTCCACCCCTATGAATTTATGGCAACTTCATAGGTTTATTGGTTTGGCTTCATACTACCAGAAGTTTATTGCCAATTTTGTCTCAATTGCCCGTCCCTTGCACTGCTTATTAAAAAAGGATGTGAAATATGAGTGAAAGCAAAAGCAAGAGGATGCTTTTAATCGATTAAAAAGTCACCTTACGAAAGCACCTGTGCTTCGCTACCCCAATTTCGATAAAACTTTTATCATATACTGATGCCTTAGAAATTGGATTGAGTGCTGTGTTGGCTCAGAAGGATGACTACAGGAAAGAATATGTAGTGGTTTATACAAGCCATTCACTAACCAAACCCGAAAAAAATTATAGCACTACGGAATTGAAGTGTTTAGCTATCCTATGGGCAGTTGAATATTTTTGTCATTATTTTAACCTGGACCCTTTCTTGGTTGTTACTGACCATGTAGCACTGAAATAGTTACAAACTTCGGCATTAACTGGTCGGCAAGCTCATTGGATACTCTGGTTGCAACCGTACAATTTTAAAATTTTACACTAGTATAGAAAAATTATAGTAATACAGATGCATTATCTCAGTCCTATATCCCCTATAGTAGATACCTCTGAGAAAACCCAACCAATAGTAATAGATTAGTATAAAAAAAACAACAACAATCACAAAAAAAATAATAATAAAATAATAAGATAATAAAACCTAAAAATCTGGTTAAAGTTTAAAATCCAGACCAGGTTACTGGTGTCCTAGTGTTTAGTTTTGTCAGTTTCTCAATCTACTTAATAGAAAGCATATAAAAAAAAATAAAAAAGCTAAATAAAATAGAACCAAATCATTATCGACATTTATTTCAATATTTAGATAGTAAGTACCTGCCACCTGTTCTCAATGAGAAACAGAGACAAAAGTTAATAAGAAAAGCAGAGTTTTATGAAGCAAAGGAAGATCTCTTGTATAAGAAGGATTGACAAAAAAAAGGAAACCTACTTCGGGTGCTGCAAAAGTACAAAACGGACCCAGTTTTGTTCTTAGTCTATACGCATCCTTTGGGTAGGCATTTCAATAAGGATGTGATGTTTAAAAAAATTTAAAATGTGTACTTTTGGCTGCAAATGTATCTGGACATTAGACGGTATGTTCAGACTTGCGATGCATGCCAACACAGAACTCGACCCTATACGCAAGCACCATTGACCCCTATACCGGTTTCGGCCCCCTTATATAAAATTGGGTTGAACTTTGTTGGCCCCCTTCCTCGTACGCCTTGATTAAACCAGTACATCTTAGTTGCAACTGACTACATAACCTGTTGGCCTGAAGCATGTACTGTAGAGAAGACAAATGCACAAACTGTCGCAGAGTTCCTATATGATGATATCATTTGCTGACATAGGTGCCCAGACTGTATATAGTCTAACTGGGACACACACTTCCATAATGACCTAATTAAGTTTCTTCTCGAGAAAATAAAAGTGAAACAGTATTTCTCTACCCCCTACTATTCCTGTACAAATGGCCTGGTTGAACGTTTTAATAAAATGTTGTGTAAAACTCTTGGGAAGTTAGTGAAAAAGTTGTTGATTGGGATTTATTAATCTCTTCGATACTTTTTGCCTATCATATCGTACAAAATTCCACTACTCATATGTTATTGTTTTTCTTAGTGTATAGTTGTGAAGCAAAACAACCTGTCCACCCTAGTTGCTCTGAAGATATATTAGAAGAAACCATATTACAAAGAGCATATAAGCTCATACATAAAGTCCCAATAATCCAAAGCCAGGCCGTAATGAAAATAACCTAGAAGCAAAAAATTATTAAAGCCCGCCATAATCAGAAACATCAAGCAAGTTTTGGGTTCGAAATAGGAAAAAAGGTTCTTTTGGAGAATGCAAAAAAAAGATATTCAAGGAGTGACAAATTTGCCCCAAAGTGTATTGGTCCATATTATATTCATGACAAGCTACCCAATGATGCCTACAAGTTGAGAACACTTGAAAATAACATAATTGCGGCTCCTTTCAATCTTAGTTTGTTGAAGAGGTACTATGAGCATGAAGAATTGGAGACTGAGAATATGGAAGTAATGCTGTAAATCAGATAGCAAAAAAAAGAGGTTGGTCACGACAGTTGTGTACGGGGTTAAGGAGCGCATAGCAAAGGAAATCTTTGTGAAAATGTGGGTGCAAATTTTTAAGGAAATTTTTAAGAGTTTTTCTTTTCTTTTGGGCATGATTGTTGCCTTGTTTTAGGTATAGAAGTTAGATTGATACCTCAATAAAGTTCAATGAGAGTATATCAGATCGCCGCTGTTATACAAAGCCGCAGTTTGGATTCGATTTTTTACAGGGCATGAAACAATAGGAATGAGAGAATTGTTACCGGCAAAATCAATGATTTCGTGATGTCACAAGAAATAGAAAATGTGACAAAATATATATATATATATATATATATAATAATAATAAAGATAATATTAAAACCTGCTTATCTGTCTATTAAAGAAACCAAAACATTGGATAAGCCTTGAGGCAAAATAGAGCCAAGCCCATAGAGACGCCTCCATTGACGATAGATGAAAAGGGCCAAAAGATTGTAAAGAATCTTTAAAGAATAGGGCCGTATAGAAGATAAGATCCGTAGTAAGATGGTTCCAAGACCACGGTATATTGAAGTTCCCAGTTGAGGTGTAAGGAGAGAACCAGAGAATAAACACCTGGACAAAACAAAGACCAAGCATTGCCCAAAAAGGATAGATGAGGCAGTGACTTTGCCAGGTCAAATAAATAAAAATAGGAGTGAATTAGGTAAATCGTGTGGCCATGTAAATGAATGTTTATGTACGTGTAAGTAAGGGCCAGATAATCCAAAAATCGTCTAAGATTTAGTATTGATGGCATGATAAGGAGCTATAGTTCTTTTCTTCTTTTTTCTTTCATCTTTTTGTCTGAAATTTATGTATAAATAGCCCTGTAGTTTGCTCCAGTTGTAGGGGCAGAACAGTACAAGTTTAATAAAAAAGTTGAACTTTGTTCTAAAACCACTAACACCTTGTTGTTGTCATCCCTAAGTCATTCGTTTTAAACTTCATAATCATAAAAATCCATCCCAAAAGCCTTACCTTGCCAAATCTCTTTCGCCTCTAACCTTGGTTTGGTTTTGTGTGTGTGTTAGTTTTTGTGAGTAGTAGTCTTCGCGTCAGTCATCACTATAACCGGTAACAATAGTAAGCAAGTTATTAATTGATACAAATATTACTTTTGGTATATATTAATTCTATGAATTTGAAAACAATAAACAGTAAAATAAGCTAAAGCTCGAGTTAATCGTTAATCGTTTAAGTTACTTCAAATATTGTAAACTATTAAAATAAATAAGCAATACATTCTATGTAACCAATCAATGATCCAAACAATAAAAAATTCCCCGAATTCAAATTTCCAACAAGGCATTATAATTTCCTGACAGTAAATTACCGTATCCAAAGTATCCCCATATACAGGTACAGTATTCAGATTTCAACCCCAAATTTGTAAAAGACCTGGGGTACTTTGGCGAACGGAATGTGGTACTCAGACGGCAATGTTTAGCGGTTAATTTCCTCAATAAGACATTTTCAGACAAGTGCCCTGTTTCTCGTTAGACGATTTGAGTAAATTATATTACAATCACTTGAGTTAAAATTTACTGTAAAATCTCTAAATGGCAGGCATGAACGTTATTTTGAATCAAGGTCGAATTAAGCTTAATTCGGTATATAACGTGTGAAATTTATCTTTATGTGAATAACAGATTCTAATAACATCGGCCGAACTTTTGTAACTTTCATAGTTAGCCACATGGCGGTACATTAAATGGTAAATTACATTTCACGTAAGACAACCATAGTGTGTATATCTGTTATTGCACGGGTCTTATGTGACAACCCGTGCTTTTTTCATTTATTTATTGGCACGGGATTGTTACGTCAGACACCGTGCAATAAGATAGTTATTATATTATATGGGTATATGAATAACCCAGTTACACACACGGGTTCATATTTAAATCCCGTGCCTTCGGCACGGAATATGAACCCGTGTGTAACTAATGGGTTATTCATACGTACCCGTACAATAACTATAAAATATCCGGCTAAATTTAAGATACAATATGCAGTATGTTGTTTGAAAAAAATTGTTTCGTTTAAGGAATAGTGTATCTAGCGATTATTTACCTGATAAACACCACGCGTAAGTCGTGTGATATGTGAAATGTAGATCTACCGCGAAGCAAAATTGTCTTTTATTGATAAATTATAAATTCACAAATTACCGCGATTTTGACTACTTATAAAATTTAATTTGCAAGTTGGATGTCATCGTCTCGCGAGGAAATGTATTACATCTAACGAATGGGATCTTTCGAAAATCTTAACGCGTTAGTCAAATCACGTGTTTTATAGCATTCATTTAATAATAAAAAGGTATCTTAACTAACCCAGTAATTTAAAAAGAGAGGTCATATCTTTTCCTCTCGAACTCACATAATTAGTATGCTCGTAAAGCAAAGTATTAGGTTGGTATACTTTGATTAAGGAAACAATAAAATCATAGTGCTGCTGTCAGTCTGGGCCTTGATTAACGACTTATCACGTCGAAAATTCGGAACTATAAAAGAATCTATAATTTTTTTTGTTGGATATTTTCCGTGTGATGTGAGTCAAGAACAATACTAAGTCAAGAATTGATTGTACATTTTGATGGAATTTACAATTCGGTAATGAAAATATATATATATTTGAATGAGTTAATTCATAAGAATTTTGAAAACCATTAAGTATAATTACTTTAATAAGATGTGATCTTTAATTTTCCGAGATTAAAAGACATAAGGATATTATAGATCTATTGAATACATAAGAAAATAATAATTAAAAAAGAAATATTGATACAGTCAATCCTGTTTAAAATGACATTGTTTAAATCATAATTGCTTTAAAATCATAAAACTTTCTTAATATCAAACTTACTACTATACTTATATCTTATTTTATCTTACTATTATTAACTTGATTCTTGATTAAAATCATATCTATCACCAAACCTATTTACCTAAGCATAAGCAAGGTGATTCTAGACAAGTTTAATTGTAAATATAAATCTTGTTTAAAAAAAAAAAAAAAATAGATCAGAAAGAAGGATAATTATTGTACTAGCAAGAAATCAGGGAAAAGAGCTATATCCTAGATAAAGTTCGTTTTCAGGATTAGCTTGACTTTGTAATTGTTCGACAACAAAAGAATTTATCCACTCAACTAAGTTGGTGAATTCACATCCGTAATAAATTGCATTTTCAAGACTATCATTGCTTATTCTTTGTGATTCGGCCCTATGAGAATTTACCCTATCAGTCAAATTATTAAGAAAATCCCGCCCCAACGGAGTAAGATTTCTTAAAGTGAGTACGGAAATTCTTCTAATTTCTTCCTCATCAATATTCATTTGATTACAAACCGGTATAATTAAAATTCGTAATACATCAATAGGTTCCAAGTTATTATTCCGCGCCATTTTAATAATTAAGAACTTGATTTTGTCTTTATTACTTTATGATACGTCAGTATCCTTTTAACTGGGTTTAAAGGTATTAAAAGATGATGTGAATTGATGTGAATTGACGTGAATTGTCTAAATGAAGAGAAGTGCCCTTTTTATGGAGATCTCATTTGCATTTCTTGTTACTATCAATTGAAACGACTGAAAATTTTAAACCATAGACAAAGAATTACGAATGACACAAAATCTTCAACGTTAACATATTAATACGTATTACATAACATAACCATATTTGTTTATTTCTTTATAACCGTTAACAGGACAAGGAATCTTTAACGATTCGTGATTCGTCTCCATACCGCAAGACAATGCTTTAGAAAAGTTTTTAAAACCATTTAATTATATAGTAATATAGTGTACAATGGTGCACAATTGGTGCAAATTATTTTTTTTTACATGAAACTGCGTCTAGGATAAGTAGTTTAAATTTCCGTGCTTTGTTTCGAATGAGGTCATATGCGTTAATATGATATCAAAAATGATGCATTTCTATGTATTAATGTTAACGGTCAGATGATCTATACTGAATATCAATGTAAGTCAACGTAAACTTCTGTTGCTATCGGTTTATGTAAGAACATAAGAACATTCATTTGTATAATAAACGTATTTGAGAAGTAACTAAATTTTCACTACTATTATTAGCATAACAAAAATTGCTAAATTTGTTTTTTTTTTAAAAAAAAAATTAAAAATAGGATAAAAATAGAACAAAAAAAAAAAAATTCTTAATCATACAAAGAAAATGATTCAATTTTACTGACGATCAAACCTTCAATGATTCAATATGACGACATAACAAAGGCATTGAATTTTCTTTGTGTCTTAATGTTTAATGAAGTACGGTAATACATGTTTGGACAAATTTACGAACGTACGTACGTACGCATCTACGCAAGTATGGGTAATGCATGTAGAATTTGGCATTTTTTTTTAAGGATTAGAGTTAAAATGGACCCTAACATAATCCTTTTCGCGTTAGCAGTAAGGTCGGGTTATGGTTATCCATTTGTTTTTTAATGAATTTCACCTTTACACCATCTTAATTTGTATCACTGTACCATTACTGTTGTACTTTATATCCCATAATAACAACGTGTTAGTGTTGGGATGTACTGTACGTACGTACGTACGTACGTACGTTAGGTAATTTGCGTATTCTGATTCTAGACTTATCCATTTATAGAAGCTCGGAATAATAACCTTTTCGAATGGAAGTTTCGATTAAGTGAACCGCACAAGTTACGACTAAAATGCAGTTCAAATTATTGCCTATTAATAGTCCGCTAATGGCCTATCCAGTTTCCCTGACAACCACATATGTACATACGTACGTACGTACGTACCAATCTCTTACGGCTCAATTTTCATAAAAATCAATCATTTTTTCGAACAAACAAACCATTACCAGAATTCTGTCAAATACGTACGTAGACCATATGAACACAGGAAGCAAATATTTCTCTGCGACAATAATATTACGATGTTTCATGTGAAACACGCTAAGAAACAAGAGCTGAAGATGTAAACAATACGTAATTTGGATATATGCTGTGCAGTGAACTGTTTTGTACGTTTGAACATCCGTGATCATAAGTTGTTTTCCGGATAATGAATATTTAAACTAAAAAATAAATTTGTAAAAAATGTGCTTTCGTGACGATGTCAATATTATCAATCCATTTTTTTTCAAAAAAAAAATTTTGTTTGGAAATGTTTAAAGCGAAGTAGTGCTACAAATTGCCAAAAATTTTGCAGTCGATTAGTTGCCAACTTTTCGATTATTCGATTTTTATTCGATTTTAATATCTAATACCCTTCAGATTACCATTCTATTCGGTCAGTAATTATTACAATAATTATGAGTTGCCAAAAATTTTTCAATCGATTAGTTGTCAAACTTTTCGATTAGTTGCGATTTTCGATTTGTAGCACTAAAGCGAAGTCAACTAATATCCTTTAAGCCGTCAATTTTAGCAGGTAATTTGGTTACTAAAATATTTTATATAATAATATAGAAGTCACCAGAGGTGAACTATTAGATTTAGGTTATAGTTACTTGGTACTTCAAACACTATTTATTAAAACTACTCCTGAGGAATAGCATACCTGGTGAATGGGGTCTCTGTGTGAGATCTTAGATGACGTCATAAATCAGTTTTTTTTTTTGGCCTATAAAATTCCGCACTTTCAAGACCTTTCTAGCTTAACAGTGATGTCTAAATTTCCAGCTATTTTGAACGGTACTTATGTTATTAAAATATGTAGTATCGATGGTTCAAATTGATGCTTAACTTTTGCATTCGAATATGATTTATTTTCTGCAAATTGTCGGTTCATAATACAAATTGGGAAATCGGCCACAGAAGAGGATATTCAACTCTTCCTGTCGGCACAATGTCATATCGGTTCCAAAAATTTAAATGTTCAAATGACTCCTTATGTTTTTAAGCGTCGTACTGACGGTAATCTTTTTTTTTTTTTTAAAAAAAAAAAATCTATTAATAAAGTCATCAATTGCATTTGTTTATTTTTTATTCGTCAATTTTATGGCACAATTTGCTTTTTTTTTTTTCTAGGAGTTCATATAATTAATATTGGCAAGACATGGGAAAAATTGATTTTCGCTGCCCGTATTATTACTGCCATTGAAAATCCTGCAGATGTTGTAATAATTTCTGCTCGTCCATATGGTCATCGTGCTGTATTGAAATATGCTTCGTACACCGGTGCACATCCTATTGCTGGTCGGTTTATTCCTGGAACTTTTACGAATTATCTTACTAGATGTTTCCGAGAGCCTCGTTTGATTGTTGTGACTGATACGGGGGCTGATCATCAAGCCATCAAGGAGGCATCTTATGTTAACATTCCCGTTATTGCATTAGCTGATACGGATTCTCCTCTTCGTTTTGTTGATGTTGTGATTCCCACCAATAACAAGGCAAAGCACTCAATTGGTTTAATCTATTGGTTGTTGGCTCGTGAAGTGCTTCGTCTTCGCGGTACCATTGAAAGAGACTCTCCATGGGATGTTATGGTTGATATGTTCTTCTACCGTGATTCGGAAGAAACTGAGAAAGAAGTAGTGACTACTACCGTATTGACTGACAAAGGTGTTCCTCTATTTATGGATACTAGTTGGGAGCAACAAGAATTTCCTACTTATTGGGATGCATCTGGTACAACAGCTCCTGGTGGTGTTAATCCTTCTGTTGTCATGCTAATCCAGTAACCACTGGCGATTCAACTTGGGATACACAAGATGTAGAAGAGTCCGGTTGGGCCGAGAGTACCTTTGATACTCTTGGTGATGTTAATCCTTCTGTTGTCACGATTGCTACTGCTAATCCGGTAACCACCGACGATTCTACTTGGGATACACAAGATGTAGAAGAGTCCGGTTTGGGCGAGAGTATCTTTGATTCTTCATATGGTGAGACTGCCACTGGTTTATTTGAAACTACTACTTTAAATGACTCTGGAGGTAATTGGGCGGATGAACCAACAGAAAATGTCAATGAGGGAGAAGGCTGAGATTAAATTAACTGGTTCGAAATAATGATCCTGATCAATAATGAAAAAATTGAAAAAGCCAATTTTCACAAAAATCAGCTGATCGATTCTTAAATAATAATAATTCGCTTATAAGCTCTGTTCATTACAAAATGTTGTTTCTTTTTGTATATTTATTGTGCCATACTTTGTTGTGTAATACTGTATCAAACATTCTTTATATCATTAGAGATATAATGTGTAAGCGATGTACGTACTAAAGCAATGGATTTAGATCAAGGTTTTAATTAACACTTTAAAAACGTAAACCATAATACGACAAAAAGCCTGGAATGCCTACTGATTCTTGCAATATTCCGATAAAAAGAATTATTTCGTCTTTTTAACTGTAACGTTTAGATGCCTATAAGATCTTGACAGTTCAAAATCCAGCCGATATTTAAAATATTATATCATAGATATTGAGTTTTACCCTAACAAATATACACTACTTCACTAATTATATATTTTTTTTACGGTTATTTACGTTACATTTTGTTTAATATACTGATATGAACATTTTTATACTAATTTTTTTTTTTTAAAAAAAAAAAACTCAATATAAAAGTTGTATATAATTTAAAAGATTTTTAATAATAATAAAGACAAGCACGTCTTTTTATGAAGTCAATTCAATCTAAATTTTTTCTATAGCCTATAGGCATTACAAAAATTATACTATATACATTGTCACTCTCGTTAGTGAAGTGATCGGTTCAATTAATAAAGATTTTTTTTCAAATATTCTCTATATCGCAAGTTTATTATCCACAATTATAATGTTGGATTTAGAAATATAATTCAAAATTCGTAATTTATCCTGGCAGCGTAAGCCTTTGCTCAAAATTAATGAATAATCCTGTTTCGTGTAAGAATACAAGACCGTCGGAAATTTTACGGGCTATTCGCAATTTGTCAGTCAATTCAATATTGAATAATTATTTTAAATATTCATGTTAATCTCCATTATTCGCAAATTGTAAACCATATTATATAATCCATTTAACGATCATAGGTTTTTGTAAGTTCTTAGGCTGAATACAAAGTAACCATGCGTATTTACCGTATTAGATTATAATATCCTTGAATATACAAAGAATATAATCTCTTAATTAAAAATTTTTGAATAATATTCTCTTTAGTAGCAAAAATTGATTCGCGGTTTCCTGTTTTGAATATACAGTTCCGTATTACCCTTTGCCACTTTGTTTAAAGACAGAGAGTTCATTATAACTGTAA